AAAACAGTGGGCCTCCAGAACGTGACGCCAGCTCTCTCTGGGTTGAGGTGCACCCCTAATTCCCCAGACGTCTCTGCACCCCTTCCCCAAATGCACGCGTCCCTGAACAAGAACTTCAGCCGTGCAATTTGAGGTTGTGTTTGTTTTTCCCAGAAAACCCGCAACAATGGAGTTATCCCGTTGCTTTGCGTGCGTCCGGCCCGTCGTCCAGCGGACACCAAATTATCCCAACTCTACGGTTCTAACCGGAGAAGACCTATCGGCTCCTCAAATAGTCGGCCAGGCTACCAAGAGAAGAACCGGGGTCGTCGATTTGTTTTCATTTTATTATTATTATTATTATTTTTTAATGGGAGGAAATGTTCGCAGGAAATAACCAGACGAGTCGGAGACGAGTTGCACAAGAATGTCTATAATCAACAATGTCCAACAGTAAAATTTCACCAAGAAAGCTAAGAAAACTTTTTCCGATTAAAAAAAAAAAGTAAACAAAAGAATTTTTTTCTTTTCAAATCTATTAAAGCTGAAAAAAACCACAGTTTCCCCTGAAAAAAGCAGGAAAGTTGACCCACGCACGTTTCCCAGTCTAACACATGAAGTCCCGCCTTCTTTCGGCGTGCCACTAAACACCACACACAATAGGTTGCCACTTCATCAAAACTCCATCAAAAGTTGGGGATAAGATCCCATCCCGAATGGCGAGGGGTGAGGGCGGGGGTGAAAGGAAGGGCCACGAGAAGAGAGCAAGAGCGAGAGAGAAAGAGAGACATTAAAAATTTGGAGGAATTCCTCTTCCCCGTCCCATCCTATTTCCGATGCGGATGGGTGGGAAAGTCGGCCATTTTGTTTGCCATCTCCTTCGAGCAACGAAACCATCAAAGACTTCAAAATGGTTGCCGATGGATCAACAAACTCAGGGCTCTCTTTCCCCAGCAACAGCGAGTTGCTCAGTGAGTTGCGCAGCAAATGGGCTTCCCCGATCCGAATTCCCCTGATTCACATGGGCATCGTGAGGATGTACGCATTGGTCTGTATCGACGGGGAATTGGCAGTTCGGGATGAGCGTTGCAACTAGGGTCTGCGGGACTTACAAGCCCGAAGGAACCCCTTGGGAGGAAAAATAAGGAGAGATCTTCCAGAGGCAACATTGCTATATACCAAAAGGGTGCGAACTTTCGAAGTTAAAAACGAAAAACGAAAAACGAAACCAAACGAAAACAACACATTTGAAATGCTGCTCGAGGGGAGTACGGTGTCACACTATGGCAATGGGAATAAGGCAGACCTGCAACGTTCCTGGTTTTGATTTGTGGCACTAACAACAAATGCAACCTTTTAGAGCGCTGGGGGGGATTGCTTTTAAACACCCCCCCTCCCCGTACGTCTACCCTTATCAGCGCGCGAGCCCATGAATAAGCTGTCAAAAGGAGAAGAGAGAGCAAGAGAGACGGACAAGGCAATCAGATTGAATTATTGCGAAAAGAAACGGGGAGGCGCCATGTTTTCCACTCCCCAAACTGTTTTGGCAGCTGGGGCACGCACCGCAGGTGGGAGCCGGACTTGACACTTTAGGCTGGACCTTGCCGTGGAATCGACAGGGAAGGGCCTTCGCGGTCAAATTCGCTCGGACGTGACCCGACAGGAGTTGCATCCCTTGTTCTGGATCCGCGGAGAGAGGAGTCCCTGCCTCCCTTGTGGCAGCGGCCGTATCAGTTCCAGGGTTCCCACCCCCCAAAATAACGGGAGGTGTACGAGGCACCTGTGTGTCAAACCCTTCTGTGCGCAGCATCCGAAGTGAACGAGAACGGGCGGGGAGGATAAGGTCCCATTGTGTCCCGTCTGCTCCGAGTCCTTGCCTGCCCATCGCGGGGCTCCAAAGGCAGCCCACGGGGGCTCAGATGAGCCGCCCTTCGCCTCATACTTTGTAGTAGATGTTCGCCGGGCTCTGCGGTGGCATCTCCTGCACGATGTAGACCGGGTGACCGTAATCGCCGCTCACCTTCTCGTAATGCGGGCAGAACGCACTGTCTGAAGTCCTGAGCGGGATGATGATATCGCTCGGCTCGGAGCCGTTGTTGTTGGCACCCCCGCCGCCCCCGACTCGCTTGGGGCTGGTCAGGGTGCTGAGGGACAACGGCGGGTGGTGCGACTCGCTGTGTTTGGCCCGGTGGTGGCGGTAACACAGGGCCCCCGTCACGGCAGCTGCCACCAGCAACACAAACGCCGCTCCTCCAGCCGCACCGGCAATGATGGGTACGTTGGACTGCGGCAACGGGCCGTTCTCACCTCCCACTTTCCCGGTCGTGTTTCCAGAAGAGGGTCCTGCGGGCACAGGGGAAAAGGGCATTAGTCTTAATCCTACCCAGCCAAACAGACCACCCTGATTTAGAGGACACGGAAACACTTCCTCACAATTTGTACAAGTGGTTGAAAACTGTTCGGCGCATCGTGACATCCCAAAGGAGCAACTGCCTGCTCAGCACAATGTTCACGTCTGTCGACTCTGATTAATAGAGCTAATTGCCGTGCGGAAATCTGCCTACGACAGCCTCGTAGGGATCGCTCAGATTTCAAGACCCATCACACCCTGCTCTGCCCCCTCCAATTCCCTCTTCTCTTCTCCTAGTAAAGAGGGGGGGGTGTACAGGAACCTCCTGATCCCCCAATTCTTCTCTGTCTGGGCTCGTCAAAGTATCCGTCAAAGTATCCGTCACAACCTAGGCCAAGATAAGAAGCAGGGAAGAAGGCTGACTCACTGTTTTTCCCCCAGCTATGTCTCCAATCTCAGCTGACATGAAGGCCATGCAGGCAGTGCAATGCTGTGGAACATGGGTTCTGTGTTCCTTTGGAGATAACAGCCTTCTTCCCCACTCCGGATACAACTGAGTTCCTTCCCTAACCTTCCTATTCATTGTATCCCAAGCATTCATGGAAAATTTGGCTCGGAGTCTCGAGAGGAACTCAAGTCATCCTCGACTTATGACCACAAACTGGACTGGAACTTCCCTTGTTAGCAAAAATTTCAGGTTTCATTACGGTCGTTAAGTCGAGGGCTGTACAGGGAGTCCTCGATATATGACACAATCGAGCCCAACATTTCCGTGGCTAAGCAAGCGAGTTTTGCCTGATTTTGTGATTTTTTTTTTGCCGCACTTATTGAGCAAATCCCTGCAGTTGTTAAGTGAATTGAATGGTCGTTAAGTGAATCGAATGGTCATTAAGTGAATCCAGATTCCTCCATGAACTTTACTTGTCAGAAGGCAGCTGAGAAGATTTGCAAACGGCAATCACACAACAGTGGGACACTACCACTATCATAAATACATGCCCATGTGCCCAAATTTTGATCACGTAACCCCGGGGAAGCTGCAATGGTTATATGTATGAGGACCGGTCACAAGTCACTTTTTTCTGGGCTGTCGTACCTTTGCGAATGGTTGTTAGTTGAGGACTACATGCAATGGGAGGAGGAGGAGAGAAAGGAAAGGAGGAAGAGGACGAGGACATCAAGAAAATGTAGAATATTTGAATTCCACATTACGACGGNATGCTTAGCCCACAAAATGCAGCCGAGGCCGGGGTCAAATCGGAGGGGAAAAACCCGTCCCCGTGGCTCGGCGAGAACTGCCGCGAGACACCGAGGTGGACGGGGAACCGTTTGGTGAGCAAAGAGGAAGCTGCACCGGTTGGACTTTCAGGATGGAGAAGTTGCCCCGTGGGGCATCGCAGGAGGGGCATCTTCTTCAGGGCATCCCCCTACTGGCGATGGGTAGAAGTCCTCCTTCATTACGGCGTCTCATTTCTCGCGTACGTCCGGACAGCGTGTTGCCCCCACGGGCCTCTTCGTAGCTCTCGATTCTGTCTCAAACTGGACCCCCGTCAATATGGCGGCCGGTGCTCTGCTTTTTCAGCCCCTCCCCTTCCCACCCATCTTGGGGCCAGTTGTGACCCCCCCCCCGCCTCCTCCCGCTACTTGACTGGGGTGAATGTAAGATCAGCATTTCTCGCTTGTACGGCGGAGTTGCTGGCTTGCACAGCTCCTGTTCCCAAAAATAACCTTGTCTCCTTCCAACGTTGACAAGGTGTCTGGATATGGGAAGAGACCGGCGGCCCCAAATAGTTGGGTTGGATGGAGCAGGAGGGGCGGGCAGGGGTTACACGCCTGCCTGTAGCCGTCAGAACAAAATCGAAGTGATAGGAGACGGCACTTTCCCGCATAGTTGGTGGTACTGGACTGGTCGTTCCCTCATTTCCCTTTCTCCCAAATTCTCACCCCATAGATTTTTCCCCTGGCTGCTGTTTACTTAATGCAAGTCCAGGCACGGTTGAGGTGGGGGGCAGGGAGCCCTCCATTAGATCCCTGATATGAGGGACAGACATAGCCCTGGGGAGTCGCAGAGCTGCCCGCTCTGTCACAATTCATCACGTGCAACACTGTTGTTTCGAAATGCTCAAGAAGGGGGCAGAGAAGCTGTGGGAGGGTGAGGGGAAGGCATGGCTGTTTGGGAGGGGTGGGGGAAAGCAAACCAGGAATGATCAAGGGGGAGCCACTGCCCACATGCATTTCGGATCAACTGACTGTGAGGCAGGGAATTGAGCCGCCATCCAAAAACAGTGGGCCTCCAGAACGTGACGCCAGCTCTCTCTGGGTTGAGGTGCACCCCTAATTCCCCAGACGTCTCTGCACCCCTTCCCCAAATGCACGCGTCCCTGAACAAGAACTTCAGCCGTGCAATTTGAGGTTGTGTTTGTTTTTCCCAGAAAACCCGCAACAATGGAGTTATCCCGTTGCTTTGCGTGCGTCCGGCCCGTCGTCCAGCGGACACCAAATTATCCCAACTCTACGGTTCTAACCGGAGAAGACCTATCGGCTCCTCAAATAGTCGGCCAGGCTACCAAGAGAAGAACCGGGGTCGTCGATTTGTTTTCATTTTATTATTATTATTATTATTTTTTAATGGGAGGAAATGTTCGCAGGAAATAACCAGACGAGTCGGAGACGAGTTGCACAAGAATGTCTATAATCAACAATGTCCAACAGTAAAATTTCACCAAGAAAGCTAAGAAAACTTTTTCCGATTAAAAAAAAAAAGTAAACAAAAGAATTTTTTTCTTTTCAAATCTATTAAAGCTGAAAAAAACCACAGTTTCCCCTGAAAAAAGCAGGAAAGTTGACCCACGCACGTTTCCCAGTCTAACACATGAAGTCCCGCCTTCTTTCGGCGTGCCACTAAACACCACACACAATAGGTTGCCACTTCATCAAAACTCCATCAAAAGTTGGGGATAAGATCCCATCCCGAATGGCGAGGGGTGAGGGCGGGGGTGAAAGGAAGGGCCACGAGAAGAGAGCAAGAGCGAGAGAGAAAGAGAGACATTAAAAATTTGGAGGAATTCCTCTTCCCCGTCCCATCCTATTTCCGATGCGGATGGGTGGGAAAGTCGGCCATTTTGTTTGCCATCTCCTTCGAGCAACGAAACCATCAAAGACTTCAAAATGGTTGCCGATGGATCAACAAACTCAGGGCTCTCTTTCCCCAGCAACAGCGAGTTGCTCAGTGAGTTGCGCAGCAAATGGGCTTCCCCGATCCGAATTCCCCTGATTCACATGGGCATCGTGAGGATGTACGCATTGGTCTGTATCGACGGGGAATTGGCAGTTCGGGATGAGCGTTGCAACTAGGGTCTGCGGGACTTACAAGCCCGAAGGAACCCCTTGGGAGGAAAAATAAGGAGAGATCTTCCAGAGGCAACATTGCTATATACCAAAAGGGTGCGAACTTTCGAAGTTAAAAACGAAAAACGAAAAACGAAACCAAACGAAAACAACACATTTGAAATGCTGCTCGAGGGGAGTACGGTGTCACACTATGGCAATGGGAATAAGGCAGACCTGCAACGTTCCTGGTTTTGATTTGTGGCACTAACAACAAATGCAACCTTTTAGAGCGCTGGGGGGGATTGCTTTTAAACACCCCCCCTCCCCGTACGTCTACCCTTATCAGCGCGCGAGCCCATGAATAAGCTGTCAAAAGGAGAAGAGAGAGCAAGAGAGACGGACAAGGCAATCAGATTGAATTATTGCGAAAAGAAACGGGGAGGCGCCATGTTTTCCACTCCCCAAACTGTTTTGGCAGCTGGGGCACGCACCGCAGGTGGGAGCCGGACTTGACACTTTAGGCTGGACCTTGCCGTGGAATCGACAGGGAAGGGCCTTCGCGGTCAAATTCGCTCGGACGTGACCCGACAGGAGTTGCATCCCTTGTTCTGGATCCGCGGAGAGAGGAGTCCCTGCCTCCCTTGTGGCAGCGGCCGTATCAGTTCCAGGGTTCCCACCCCCCAAAATAACGGGAGGTGTACGAGGCACCTGTGTGTCAAACCCTTCTGTGCGCAGCATCCGAAGTGAACGAGAACGGGCGGGGAGGATAAGGTCCCATTGTGTCCCGTCTGCTCCGAGTCCTTGCCTGCCCATCGCGGGGCTCCAAAGGCAGCCCACGGGGGCTCAGATGAGCCGCCCTTCGCCTCATACTTTGTAGTAGATGTTCGCCGGGCTCTGCGGTGGCATCTCCTGCACGATGTAGACCGGGTGACCGTAATCGCCGCTCACCTTCTCGTAATGCGGGCAGAACGCACTGTCTGAAGTCCTGAGCGGGATGATGATATCGCTCGGCTCGGAGCCGTTGTTGTTGGCACCCCCGCCGCCCCCGACTCGCTTGGGGCTGGTCAGGGTGCTGAGGGACAACGGCGGGTGGTGCGACTCGCTGTGTTTGGCCCGGTGGTGGCGGTAACACAGGGCCCCCGTCACGGCAGCTGCCACCAGCAACACAAACGCCGCTCCTCCAGCCGCACCGGCAATGATGGGTACGTTGGACTGCGGCAACGGGCCGTTCTCACCTCCCACTTTCCCGGTCGTGTTTCCAGAAGAGGGTCCTGCGGGCACAGGGGAAAAGGGCATTAGTCTTAATCCTACCCAGCCAAACAGACCACCCTGATTTAGAGGACACGGAAACACTTCCTCACAATTTGTACAAGTGGTTGAAAACTGTTCGGCGCATCGTGACATCCCAAAGGAGCAACTGCCTGCTCAGCACAATGTTCACGTCTGTCGACTCTGATTAATAGAGCTAATTGCCGTGCGGAAATCTGCCTACGACAGCCTCGTAGGGATCGCTCAGATTTCAAGACCCATCACACCCTGCTCTGCCCCCTCCAATTCCCTCTTCTCTTCTCCTAGTAAAGAGGGGGGGGTGTACAGGAACCTCCTGATCCCCCAATTCTTCTCTGTCTGGGCTCGTCAAAGTATCCGTCAAAGTATCCGTCACAACCTAGGCCAAGATAAGAAGCAGGGAAGAAGGCTGACTCACTGTTTTTCCCCCAGCTATGTCTCCAATCTCAGCTGACATGAAGGCCATGCAGGCAGTGCAATGCTGTGGAACATGGGTTCTGTGTTCCTTTGGAGATAACAGCCTTCTTCCCCACTCCGGATACAACTGAGTTCCTTCCCTAACCTTCCTATTCATTGTATCCCAAGCATTCATGGAAAATTTGGCTCGGAGTCTCGAGAGGAACTCAAGTCATCCTCGACTTATGACCACAAACTGGACTGGAACTTCCCTTGTTAGCAAAAATTTCAGGTTTCATTACGGTCGTTAAGTCGAGGGCTGTACAGGGAGTCCTCGATATATGACACAATCGAGCCCAACATTTCCGTGGCTAAGCAAGCGAGTTTTGCCTGATTTTGTGATTTTTTTTTTGCCGCACTTATTGAGCAAATCCCTGCAGTTGTTAAGTGAATTGAATGGTCGTTAAGTGAATCGAATGGTCATTAAGTGAATCCAGATTCCTCCATGAACTTTACTTGTCAGAAGGCAGCTGAGAAGATTTGCAAACGGCAATCACACAACAGTGGGACACTACCACTATCATAAATACATGCCCATGTGCCCAAATTTTGATCACGTAACCCCGGGGAAGCTGCAATGGTTATATGTATGAGGACCGGTCACAAGTCACTTTTTTCTGGGCTGTCGTACCTTTGCGAATGGTTGTTAGTTGAGGACTACATGCAATGGGAGGAGGAGGAGAGAAAGGAAAGGAGGAAGAGGACGAGGACATCAAGAAAATGTAGAATATTTGAATTCCACATTACGACGGAAAACCTCTTGGCAGATAGCGGATGGTTAACCCTGCTGGCTTCGGGTGACGGCAGTCACAATGCCCTCTTTAAAGGCGCGCCACTGTTAGGTGGCGGGAGATAAATCACCAGGGGTGGGATGGGAGAAGGGCCATACCTGGAACCATCTCCTTGTTGGGTTCGGCTGCACCTGGCGTCCCTCGGTCCTTCTCCGCAGGTGTGGCGGGCAGGGAATTCTGGGATTTGGAGCCCGTGTTGCGATCTGGGAAATGTGGGGCAGAGGAAAGAGGGACGGTCCGAGCAGGAAAAGACACACCATGCCCCAACGCAGCACCCCAAACCCCACTCCTTGGTTACCCAACAGATGAGTAGGTCAAATCACGTCTACACAATCACAGCGCTACCCGGTCTACGACCAGGCACTGAGGGCATGGCGTCGATGACCCAATTACCATCATCATCTTAACCCCATTCACACAAGGGCCTTGACCTAGATATTTTGTGTAGCCGCTACGCTAGGATGCCGAAATGGAGCACAAAGGAGTTGCGCTCCCACACCACACTCAGCCAAGGGTCCGTTTCCTACTCTACACAAGGCCATCGTGTCGTGCGAAGGACACGGCTGCCTTAACAAACCCAACATACAGGCATTCTCTGAACTAGGATCGTCACTGAGCCCGGGATTATAATCAAGTTGTCGTCAATCATGTGTTGCCGTGTGGCTGCCCTCTCTTTTACGACATTTTTGTGGTGCCAAGCAACGGCGCTGGGGAATTCTGGGAGTTGAAGTCCCGCCGTCTTCAGACAGGCGAGTTTGAGATATACTGCTCTGTGTTTCTTCTGGTCCAAAGTGTCTTCTCCAACACAAAGGGTTTCCAACCACCCCAGTTCGTCTCCCCACAAGCGAGCCCCATAGGTCCCTCCCGCACACACACACCCAACCACTAGTAGTAGCGTCCCCACGATGGAGCACTTACGCTGTCCAACTTTGAGCATCACTTTCATCCCTTTGGACAAACAGGCGCCCCCTTTCAGGTTCTCGAGACCTTCCTTGGTACCGTCTGAGGTGGCTGCGGGAGACAGGAAAGAGTTTGAGGTTAATGTCCCTCCGGGGTTAGACTACCGCAGGAGACTGTGGGTGGGGCCCACCCTTGACGACTGTCTCGGAACTTCGGCTGCTTCCAAATACGGGAATTTCTCGACTTGCGACTGCATTTCCGGTGACAACTCTCGCCTGGCATGCAATCGAACGAGACGTTTTAATTCTTTTTTAACGTTTTCATGCTTTTTACTGGGGTTTTTAAAGATTTTTTTTCATGGTAACGCAGGTAGTCCTCGATTTATCACGGTCCGTTTAGCGGCGCTGGGGGAAAAAAGGGACTTCGGACCTTTTTTCGCACTTCTGACCGTCGTATCGTCCCCAGGGTCATGTGATCAAAATTCAGTCTGACTCGTATTTATGACGGTTGCAGTGTCCTGGGGAAATCAATCGGGAAGCCAGATTTGCTTAACGACCATGCTACTAATCTAACAACTGCGGGGATTCACTTAACAACTGCAGCAAGAAAGGTCGTAAAAGAGGCCCAAACTCACTTAACAGCTGTTTCGCTTAGCAACGAAGATTTTGGCCTCAGTTCTGGTCGTTATTTGAGGACTTCCTGTATTTAGGGTAT